TGTGCGATTACGTAATCCATTTCAATTCATTACCTCCCTGAAATACCGATATTGTAAGGAAATGGTACATTCCAATTCTCACAGACTGATGAAACGAACATCTACTATATAGTATGATTGATACACACTTAATGAAACACATACTGTTTGTTTCACTCCATTTCAATTTCGCATAAATGCATACAGGGCTATGATTGTTCATAAAAATATATATGGAAGTTCTTTTCTCATTATAATTGAAACTTTTGGGCGGTTGATACGCATCACAGAAATATGGTCATTAAATTTAATCGAAAACGGAAACGGAAATTATACGAACGCGCCAACGTGAAACAATATGGTTGGTAGATATTATGGATTGGCAGATCAAAACGAAACGAAACAATTTTCCGTATATTAGATAAACTCGAAGTTTGGGATTTGTTATTTTGTATATCATGAACGTTTGAAGTTATTTAACTGTTACAGTATTACGCATGAACCATGACTTTAGGAAAATTCCTTTTGATAATAAAAAGATTAGTCAAGTTTTTTTTTCTTTCTTCTTTTTACATTCACAAATCAATATCACACGGACATTATCACAAAAGTCGACAATGAAGTAGGTTTCACATAGAATGAAACAGACGTCTGAAACGCCCATAAACAATATAGACCTCACCCATCGATAGCAACTGATCAGTGGAGGATATGGAATAAGTATTTCTTACATTGTAATCAACATTCAGGATATTGTTTGCAAATAATAAAAATTAACCTAAAACACATTTTTATGACTTAGTATATTACACGATTACTTGTCATCTCTGTCATTGCAAACGTTTGATAATTACATATACAGTGAGTAGCTAAAACAACACACAAAAACAAATGAAACAAATAAAAACAAAATATAGATATATATAAATAATAATAGTAATCCGGATCACTAGGAACCGTTCCGTTCGTTGGTTCTTCAATTGCTTCTGACCGTAACACGTTCACATCTGACATGTACTTCAAAGTGACCTAGATTCGTTTGATATATCAAGTTTTACCTAAATTAATCAAATTTTCCTGGGATAAGCCGGGCTGACTGAAAGAAATCCGTAACGTGTTCCGGTGTCAGACGGCGGAATGGCAGGTTTTCCCTGGCGTTAGTTTAATCGGATTTACCCTTCTCTATCTTTTTGATTTATATCTGTTTTTAAAGGGAGAATAAATCTCATAGTCATGATAGAATACCGACAAATATATTAAACGCGGGCCTCAGTGTGTTTTTTAGTAAGACTCAACAGCTAAATGCATTTACCACAAGCCCTGTCATCCAGCGGTTTCAATTAGAATCAGACAAGATTTACTGAGAACGTGACAATCAACATTGACGCCCGTGTGTCAGTGGACAAATTACGAGGTGTTTCTGACCATCTCCTACCCTTGGGCATCGAAAGCAATTACCCTTACCCACGGGGAGGTGTTTTTTGCGGGTGCTATAAAGTAAGGATGAAACTCGTGGGGTCGAGGAATGTAAATGGTTGATACTTCATGAATACATCTCGTGTTTCACCTCTGCTGATAATGACGCTTTCTCCTGGTGTTCAAACCATCAACCCTATGCAATCAACCCTATTTATTTTAGTTTCGAACCATTGCCCAGGAACCGGGAGGCGCATTCGTCCGTGGATTGTTGACACAAGAGATCCTGACACTTGGATCAAATTTTTAAATGCGCATGCGTACGCAGGAGTCGATAATGACGATTCCGGGTGTCCGGAAACCCCTTGGCTGTAGACGCTATCACGTCGTTTCACGCGAGACGCCTATTACGTTGAAGTACTCATTAACACGACGAGTTGTCGAACCTTGGTGTAAATATTGACCCCGTTGTGCACATGATATTGTGCCAATTGTGTAAAACTTTCAGCGACATATCTGTACTATATGGCAAGTACGAAATGTTCACACATTCGTTGAAAACGCAAGACAGAATAACGTTATCTATCGAAAAGTCTTAGAAGAAAGCAGAAAGCAATTATAATTCTAGGGTTGGGGTAGGGGGCAAGGATATAGAAGTATTGCGGTTTACACAGTACGAGACACTTACAAATCGTCAATCTGTATATGCCTTTAAAAATATGCAGTGAATGTATCTTTAAAATGATCCTTCCCGGTGACAAGAATAATCACAACAAATGGGATTTACCGGGCACGTTTGTAACCGTCATAAAATACTGATTGGCAACGTATTACTGGCGACGTGACCAGGAGAAGAGATAGGACGTTTACCAATTAATGTAGTAACCTACTTTTTATATCAAATTTAATACAGAGGAAGCCCTAATGATGCTATTTAATTACATCGGAAAGATATTGAGAAAAAAATTATACGGGAAACGAAAAAGCGCATGATTTTTCAAATGTATAGAAGACATTCCTTGGTGTTTTCGTCTGAATTTATGAGATATCTTTGAACGAGTTTCAGATTAAAGAATTACACATGTCGGAAGTAATATTTCAAACTGATAAAACGGTTTTACTATAATTTATCTTAGGGGTTTTTTATTCGTGCATTCAAGTTCAATATCATATTTCCGTGTAAACATTTTTGTAATCTTTTGTCAAAGAGGCAATAAAGCTTATATGTATCATTAACCAAAAAGAAAATCTGTAGGTCGAAAATCTTTAGAAGAATTTATTTCTGGTAATTTCTGTAGAGAAGTTTTAAGTCAAAATCAAGATCTTGTAAAATCGATCATTTTTGGCAGTAAATTTCAAAGCAAGATACAAAACTTATATATAAATTGGAATTTTGACAGCATTGTACATGAAGTTTTTTGTGCTTTAGGCATACGTTGGTAAACGTGTAATTCCAACTTATACAGGGAAAAGGCATTTCGACCGTCAATGTACATTCTGAGTTATTCAGACATGTCACACTTCAATAAGGCATATATATCACAAAATATCATTTCGTTGTCATTATATGAAATGTACACGTGAGCATTACATTCAAACGGATGCATTCAAATTAAGTCATACATTTCTGTTTCCGATTAAAAGTGTCAGTTTCAGTGCGTATATATATAAATCGGTTCAATAATAGGATCTCCGCAGGGCGATAATTGAAACTAACACCTCACAAGAGAGGTTTGAATTATTTTTAGAAATGTCCGTTACATTTAATACGTAATTGACAGACACAATGAAGGTCATGTGTATTTCCCTCGTCCCGGAAAAACAATTCAGGAACGTAATACCAGAGTTAGCACGACAATAAAACAACTGTAAAAACCTTCTCCGGTTATCGACTGAAAATTGCCTCGAATGCTAAAGCTGTGGCAAAGCAGTGTTATTACGTGTCATAGCTTCAGGGCATTCGAATGTTCAGGAGCTCGAAGTGAAATATTATCTTGTATCAAACCTTATCCCGTTAATATCTATGAAACCTCGATGAAAGATGAAAGGAGGACGATAAGAGACGGAAAGAAAAATTTTAATGAATATACGCTAAGTGGATAAAAAACCAGCAGGAAATGTATTCTAAGTTATACGTATGTACAGAGGTTGCCGGGGCAAAGACCGAGCCATTTCGCCCATCATGCTTGCCGCGTTTGATATTTAGACCTGTTTATATAAGATATAGTATATGATGGACGAGAGCGTTGATTGGAATATGATCTACGTGGCACACCGTCTAGTGTAAATAAACCCGTTACTTACTGAGAACGAAAATGATCTTCACTCTTAAATTAAAACTATCAGTTCATTTTTCCGTTTTTATTTTCTGTTGTTCAGACAGAGCTAAGACTAGCTTTTTCAGAAACCACTCATGTTTATATCCATGTGATTCATAAAATATCCCAGATTTGAAGATTAGACATTCGACATAATTCTGTTTCGAACGAGTAAATTAGTGAAGATGTGTATCTGGACATTTCGTAAAGGGCCGTCTTAATACAACGCTCTCTCACATAGGATAACCTATGATATTAGCGGATCGCTATCTTGTATACCGTAACCACGAACATTGCGATCCGTTCGCTAACAAAATTCGATGTCACAATGTTATACCGCACTATCTGTTTACCCTAGGGTCCTAACTTTTAACATACCAGTAAAACTCGTTCCTCTATGTATACAACAGCGGGAAATAGATATATCTCTCTATCTCGACTAATATCACGACCCACTGATCGAATCATGTAGTTTGCCAATGCCTAGACAGTTAACTGTATTCACAAACAAGTATTGGATGCAACTGGACGCCAAAGTGGCACAAAATGATTCCAGTCTGTTATTTTAGAATGACATCTGCCGTGTCAAGATTGAGCCGCACTGTAGGTAAAAAATCCCATAGTTTGGCCTTAGAAACTTGTACGTATACAGAAGTAGACCGGTATTGAATTTTCCCCTCATATGCAAATGTTCTTTAACTGCATGCTTATAATTTTCATAGGTTTTTGAAATGTTTTTATTGTGTCAATCATATAAATACAGAACAATTTTGACAGAAACTTCTGGAAATCGAACAGAGGTTTTAAATTGCGGAATATTTGAATTAGTCTTGTTCATGGAGAAATGCTTTAATAATTCGAAGTTTTTGCCGAATTATAAAATGCAATACCGTTGAGGAAAACTGACATTAAGCAATCTGCCTTCATTTTAACATCACAAGATTGAATTAAATTGAATCCTTTTTGAAATTGTAATTAAATGCATATTTGTAAGGAGCAGTTGTAGTACCTTGTTAAAACGCGTCCTTTGAGATTGTGTCACGTGACGTTACAACATCGGAAGCAACTGCACAAAACTGTGACACGTTAATAGCAAAGTCAATAAAACACTATTTCCAGGTTTTGCCGTTTAACTGGCTATACAGATAAAACGACACACTGTAATTTCAAAGCAGGAAAAATGTCAAAAACGATCGTTGGAGAAAAATAAGATTGCCGAAGAGAGGAGAGAAAAAGTAACATAAAGAAAAACATAATTAAATATTAAAAATGATAGTGCATACTTACGCCATAGGAAACCTGCTTTCCCGCTGGTTTATGTCCTTTTTCTTCATAATATGTTTCATCAGAGGGAATTTGTTGGTCAGGACTGAAAGCAAAAGTCACTTCCTTCCGCTTCCGCTCTAGCTCTGATATTACTTCCGCTACCGGTTTGTTAAGGGTCCCGTACGTGTTGTTTGGTACCCCGGCAAGACCGTTAGCCGTAATGGGGTCAGAGGTCGGTTTTCTTGACCTCTCTTTATTTGTATCTATTCTTCTTAGTATACAAATAACTAAAATTATTCCTGTCGATAGCACTAAGGTAACACCAACTAAAGAAACAACGATAATGATGTTGATGTTTCTGTTTGAGCCTAAATTGGTCCCGATGACAATTTTCATCGTCTGCCGAGACCTTCTTGGCGGGTCCCCTTGATCCGACACAATTACATTTAGAGAAAATACACTTCCACCGTATAATTCAACACTTTTTTGTAAAATCACATCTCCAGTTTCAGAAAATATTCTAAAATAAGCCGTTTGATTATCACCATCGAAACTGTAAGACACTTCCCCATTCAACCCTTCATCCGGGTCTTGCGCACGCACCGAGCCAATTATACTTCCGGGAGGAGTTCCAACTGATATCACTATTGTATTATTGGTATAACTAGGAAATATGATTTCGGGACTGTTGTCATTTTCGTCCTCTATAAATATTTTCACTTTAGCTGTACTACTCAAAGTCGGACGTCCGAGATCGGACGCCATTACCTTGAAATCGTAGAATTTCTTTTTTTCGCGATCTAGCTCTGATGTTGTTTTTATAATGCCATCAGAATACACAACAAACGGAAGTGTGCTGAAAAATGGAGAGTCCTCAGCCAAGGAGAAAACGACTCTTCCGCTGTCTCCTTCATCATCATCCATGGCCGTTAACCTTCCAACTATAGTCCCTGCCTGACGATTCTCTTTGCGTTTAAATATAAACAAGTTTTCTAAGAATTGTGGCTTTTCATCATTGACGTCCTCCACGGTTACCGAGACAGTCGCCGTACCAGACTTTGGAGGACTTCCGCCATCGATGGCGAGCACTTTGAACATGAATGACGACATCCGCTCACGATCGAATACGGCGTTTGCGCGAATTATACCTGTATGTGCATCGACTTGAATGACAGTATCATTTGAATGCAGTAAACGATATTTGACCTCTGCGTTTTGACCTTCATCGTTATCAGTTGCAGTAACTTGTAAAATTTCCTTGCCGATTTTGTTATTTTCGTCAATGCTAGCAGAGTATGTCTGCATATGGAATATTGGCGGATTGTCGTTTACATCCAAGACTTCTACGAAGAAGTTGGCATTAGAAACAAGCATCGGAGTACCACTGTCTTGACAAGTGACTGTAACACTATGGCGGGCGAGTCGCTCACGGTCTAGAGCTTGAGACACAAGCACTTTGTACTCGTTTACTTCGAGTATTTGTAACTCGAAAATTGTACTATCCAAGTTACACATGACGATGCCGTTATGTCCAGAGTCCTGATCGAGAACTGCAACATGTGCCACTGTGGTTCCGAACTCCGCATATTCGGAAATCCTTGCTACGCCGTTCGTCAATAGTCCTAGGACAATCACCGGTGGGTTATTTCCGGAATCAAGCACAGTGACAATGACGTAAGTTTGTGTTGTCATTGGTTGTTCACCACGGTCACCGACCTCTACGATAATCTTATACGACGTTCCGCGGACATAGGTCAACGGGTTAATTAGAATAAGTTCCCCAGATGTGGCATTGATGAAAAACAAGTTTTTTATCTCCTCTGTCTGGTGCGGACTTAGTCTATATCTCACCTCACCGTTACGTCCAGCATCAGGGTCAGTGGCAGACAGGGTCAGTAAAGTACTGCCCACAGGTTTGTCCTCTCGAACTGTAAAGTTATACGATTTACTACTCAAGATTGGCGCGTTGTCGTTGACGTCAGTCACGTGTACGTCCACTGAGAGGTCTGCAGTTTTGGCGGGAATACCGCCATCTTTTGCCACCAGTGTCAACTCATATAGGTCACGTGATTCGCGGTCAAGCAACCCATCCACTATAATACGTACAGCAGAAGTGCCGTCCAAATTCTTCACAAAATCAACAGAAAATGGGAGATCTTGCGGATGAAGCATATAACTTTGTATCCCATACCTGGCGCTGCGGTCGGCGTCTTTAGCGCCATCTACAGTAAAGGACGTTCCAGGAAGCACTGATTCCGGAATGGATAGCGTTTGAGCAGTCTTCGGAAATATCGGATAATTGTCATTCACATCATCAATGTATACAACAATGTTCAACTTTTTAAAGTAGCTTGTTATCGCTGATTGAGCAGTTACTTCGATGGTCAGTTTACACTGGTCAGTGTATGGACATATCTCTTCCCTGTCCAGTAGGGACGCGGTGTACAAGTTGCCCGAGGTCTGATTTATAGTGAAATATTGGTGATAATTACCTGTACTGCTTGCCAGCACACTATAACGCAACGTCCTATAATCACTGTCGCTCACGTTCAAATTCAGATTCGAATCCAGAGCCACATTTCCAATGAACATTCCTCCTGACTGTTCCTCTGGTACCCTGTAAATAATATCCGTACATAAACATACCCCTAGGAGCAAGGCCAATACCACTCCCGTCAGAACACCCATATCGTCTGAGGAGGTCCGATTCAATCAAATGTTTTAAAGCAATCCACATGCACTTGTGAACTGTGCCATCACGCCCGCGGTAATTGGGGATTAATTTAACACAGCGCTCGGCAGGTTAGCGATCCGCATCCATCTGTTTGGTCGAAGAATTCCGGTAGTCATTTTTCGTCCGGTCTATAGAATTCTGGCAAGCTGGAATCACCACATGGCCCCTGTCAATGTAATATTATATCAATATTTGTACACACTATTGGCTGTGAGTATTAAATCACGTCTGTATTATTATTAACTGAACGTTGAAAGTTAACAGTTACTTGTAAAATCTCTGTCAACGTTATGGAATAAAGCCGACATACTTTATATGAAAGACCACACAAAAAGGGTATAGCTGTGGTCATTATGTCCTAGTTGTGTGGTCAGCACTGTCAAGTTTACATGTTAGATATAAAGTTTTTTTCGCTACCTTGTACACAACACTACAGCTACACACTGCTCTACCGCGTGTCAGTGTCTGTATGTGTATCGCTATACAGTCTCCGGTCGCAAGCTATCCAAGATGTAGTCTCCACCCCTTTATCTGTCTGGGCCAATCAAAAGCTTTAAGTCAATGTCATAGATACGCTAAGCCAGGTACAAATCCCTTCTTTCTATGGACGTGTTGTGATCGCTGTGGGGATTTGATGTTAGGTTCATTCAACAGTAATCCTTCAGAAATGTCTCTGTTTGTATTCTATTCAGAAAACAACACCAATGTTATGGCGGTGGGATCCAAATTAAATTTCCTTCGTTACGGGAGGTGCTAGAATTTACAACAACATTCAGAGTAGAGATCGACATCAATTTCAATCTACATATTAATAATAACTGTGGGAAGACATGCCTTCACACACGATTCAATATTCAGATTATATAAATTCCCGTAAATTTTATATTAAGAGTTTCATCTGGCTAGAGAGTGAATCGATTGCACTGACCGTACACATGCTTTGTGCTCTACATGTGTTACCAATACGTGTCCAGAGTACATGTAAATTCACACCTCTTCATCTGCGAACAGATCTAACCTCCACCCTCTCCCTTCCCCTTACCACTAATCAACGAGATAATAGTCTAAATCTATAGCGTATTTATCCTTTGGGTACATGATGCCGACAGTTAACTTGTGCTGTAGCGATGTGTTTGCCCTTCTCGATCATGTTAAGCACGTGTAGAATATTTCCAAGTTTTTATCATCATTCCCCCTCCCCGCGGGGCTCTCTCATCCCAAAGCTGATTTCATCTGCCGTTTGATGATGTGTCGGAATACCTCCGGCTCGAATCACACTCAATGCTTTCACCTTTATTTCTGTTGGTCGTCTAGAGTGGAATTCAATAAAATTAAGGTTTTAATGAGTTTTTCGTGGTACTTTTTGAAAAATGTTTTGTTTATGTATAAGATTAATGCAGTTTTTCCAAAATGATATCGTGACGCAGTCTTTTGATGAAGAAAACTTTAGATATATAATTAAACTTATATCGTTTATCATTTATTTAATTTCTTAAGTACGATTCACATTTCACATGACGTCATTAACAAATTGAATTGATCAGTTTTATCAAATTACTAAAACACATTTAATATTTTAGTTATCGAAAGGCTGTGTAATTTACACGGTGTTTATAAAGAAGGAGCTCCATACAGTATCACCAAATAGAACAATAGGATTGCAGAAAGATTGAGTAATTTAGCACACACTAGACAAAACAAGAGCATTTTGTCTGTAATTTTTCAAGCTATATCCAGATCACTGTGTAGCGCCACGAGGGATCTTATTAAAGCATTATATGCTTGGAGACAATGCCTTCTTATTGCTTTGTAACGCAATAATATGATATTGAACTGCAATAAAATGCTTGGGAGTTCTACGAAGGTTTCACACGTGCAGATACCCGAAATCGATATTGTTACGATAAAAATATATATTTCTCATTCTAGATTCAGGAAATATACCTTTATCATTTCCTTAACTGGATTTTGTGTTTCGAACGCATTAAATGGCACATAACAATAGATTTCGTTAAAACAATGCCCACATACATGATTCAATTTGGTTAATATTATAGCACAAGAAACTGTCCAATTTTCAGGACTTTGAAAAACTCATCCTGTCACCAATGTGTAGTGACCTCCTACTCTTTGTAAAATTTTCCGCAAATATCGATTTTAAGAATTTTTTTTTACTTTCAAAAAATCACTATAGTAACATTTGACTTGTTGATTGGGCAACTATCAAAGTGTGAAAATATTTCCCAGTGGCTATGTATGTTGGTCTGTAACGTATTATTTTCATTTGCATCACGTGATCACATATTTCATTTAGGGACATTTAGAATGATCAATAATTAATGTTTGTTCACGTATGAATGAACGATAGATGGACACAAATTGCAATTGATTAAGTGTTTTTAGACTTCTCTTTCATCGTTCTATGCAAACATGACAATAATTATGGTGTCTGATATCATAGCATCCGTGTCATCACACTTCAAACAATTATCTTGTCTGAAGGTTTCAAAAATTAAAAATAATGATTTTCATCAAAGTCTATGAGTCAACTGATATCGGTCCATTGATAAAAGCAAGCACGGCATCGAAAAGTGTGAGAAATTCAATTTAAGATTTAAAGAATGGAAAACCCTTCTGCATTGAGTAATTGACTTTTACTACCAGAGATCGTAAATATAAAACGTAAACGTCATTATCTCAAAATTTGCTTCGGAATTATGTGAAATGGAATTTGTCGTTTAAGTGGGCAAAGCTGAAAGTCCTCCAGTGTTATCGGAAACTCATCCATCAAGTCCCTTTATGGTGCAAATATGTTTCGGACCTGAATTAATATTGGGTATTGTGAATTCTGTCAGTTTTGAACACACAGGACACTTTATGACGAAGGGAGTAGAGGAACGTCAGTGTTAAGGTAATGGAGAGTGTTTGATTCTCATCATTCGCTCGTAAAACCAATATAATTTGAATATATTTACAATCATAATATGAGTTTATATATATTAGCGTTGACTCTGATTGTCCGGATCAGACGCATGAATTATAAAAGTTATATTATATGTAGTTTATACATCGCCAGATTGCTACGGTCTGATGAAACCACGCGTTAAACACGTGTAACCGGAGACGAGAAATTATCGTGTAATTCTAGAAGCTTTAGCTATCCGATCTGACTACATGCTGGGTACATGAATGATTAAAACATAACATATAGTATATTGTAAAGGACAGTGTTTGTGAGGTGTACTCGTGGACATTCAGGAACCTGAGAACGACACCTATGTGTAACAATCGTAACGTGACGCGACGCGCGAGAGACGATCGCGGCTAGACTAGAGATAATTGCTTGCTGGTATTTACAATATTCATCAATTCTTATAATGTTGAAATTTACTGAAAGAAGAAAATTGGAAAAGTCAATAGCTGTTCTTCAATGACAAGCGCCTCAAGACATAGAGCCAGAGAATGAGAGAGGATTAGATTCAAATCGAGGCACCGTTGTAAGCCTCTTCAATACCCATCTGAAAATATCATCTCCAAATATTTGCGGTTTTAATTTTTTTTATGAACGATACAAACAATAAACTGGCTTAGTTCAACAGAGCAAATCCATCATTATTTGAGCGATCGCATTTTGCCCTGATCTGTAACCAAGAAGTTTTAAGTATTGTTTAAATAGTGGGTTTCGTATACCGAACACAATAGTACTAGTTAAGGCAAACAGAAACACATTTATCAAATCTGTTTTTCTAAAATACCAAACGACCCATTTGTCATAAAAAAGATAACTAGAAAGGTAATGATCCCGGTCTATGTAACATGCAGCATCATTTGTAAACACTCGATTCAAATGGGCCCATAAAATCGCGATCGGGTCCGGTAATTATTTGGGATTTGGCGCAACTTGATGTAAGACCCTTCCATCCGATTGCTGTCTGTAGTGTCCCGTCACACCTGGGGCGGTTGTACTCGGTGAGTGTATTAGATGTCTGTAAATATATACAATGATGTAGCGCCACGGGCGTTTTACCATCCAATTGTACCAAACAGACAAAGGACACTCTACCATCAAAATGTATCACATGATCCAGAATGTACCAATGTTTTAGCACAGAGGGTGCTTTATCATTAGCCACAATGTACTTATGTTTTAGCACAGAAGACGCTTTACCACCCAGCTGAACCTGAGTTTTAACAAAAGCAGCATCGCTTGAACGATTTACCGATCTTCTTTTAACATGGAGGGTGCGAGTATCAAAGCTTCAACGTTAGAGGGCGCCTTACCATATTGTTTTTACTGAATATTTAGCATATAGGGCGACAGTATGGAAATTCAGTATAAAGGATGCCTGTGGCATAACATTATTTTCAGGACATATGCATCATAGTTAAAACAAAGAGTGCGCTCGTACTATATCTCTGTTATGTGGGTTCATTTATCAAACATTCAACGTAAAGGTGGATGAACCATCACAATGATATAGAAGACATATGTTTTGCAATTTTATCACAAGGGTCTTCTTTGTTATACATGTACAGAGAATGTACCTATGAATTAGAGACCACATACTTATATCTACATATAAGTACGCAGTACCTTTCATAGTTTCGGGTTTTAATGTCTTCGCAGCAACAATATCAAATAAGACAGTTAACCCCGATAAAACGTCCCTCGTCTACAACTTAAAACCTCGATATAATGTCCCTCGTCTACACATTAAAACCCGATATAATGTCCCTCGTCTACACATTAAAACCCGATAAAACGTCCCTCGTCTACACATTAAAACCCCGATATAACATCCCCGTCTACACATTAAAACCCCGATATAACATCCCCGTCTACACATTAAAACCCCGATATAACATCCCCGTCTTCACATTAAAAACCCGATATAACATCCCCGTCTACACATTAAAACCCTGATATAACATCCCCGTCTACACATTAAAACCC